AAAAGCTATTCCAGATCTGATTAGAAGTTGGTACAGTATTATTTTAGGATTGCTTTTTGGACACAAATATCCTCAGCAGCATTCATTGTTACCCTTTTTGGATCCGCAAACCTTACCAAAGGCAGTCCAAAATGATTGTCGCTGCATAGGCAAAATGCGTAGGCAAAAAACTGAGCATATGGCTTATTTTAGGCAACTTCACAGTTGGCTCTTTCTGCCAACTTCATGTTTAGCTCTTTGTCTGCCGCGTGGCCAGAAGGAGCTCTACAGGACCTTGCGAGCAAAGGACTGATGGTTGCGACCCGTGGATGTCCATGTCCTCACACGGCATGGCTGCATTTTCATTCCTTGCTGTTTGTTTTGACCAGCGCAAGATTTATGTGGGGGCATCAGCTGTCAAAACAGACTCTTAGGCTAAGAGTCTGCAGCACAGCTTAAAGTCAGTGTTAAGGAGACTGTCCAGGAGCAAAGCAGTCCAAATCAGGCAAGAGTAAAGGTGCCTTAACACCACCTTTTTGTCTTTTCTCCTCCATGTGAAACGCTGTGCCAAGTGTTCCTCAGTCAGAATTCAGGAGCTCACCCATGGTAACCAAGGAAGAGAAATACAAACAAAAAGTCACAATAAAATGTTTAAAAATAACTCTAAAACATTCCTAACCATTTCTAGAGCACAGCATATACAAAATAGGTTGTGGTGTTACAAAGGTTTTCTATTAGTACTTGCGTAATACTCCAAAACTTAGTCACACAATACATTTACGTTCATCGCTCTGTTTGATTTTACTATTTGAAAAATAATGCAACCAAATACAGAGAAAACTTTGTATGGTGTAATGCAATATTTAACCAGTGTAAATTTGGGATTGTATCAAAGTTAGACTGAACAGAGGTTGTTTACCTCGCTTCTCTTTCAATATAGTAGACAGGCATTATGCATTTAGGAATTCATAACAATAAACTTCTAAGACTTAATTGCCACTGAGTTATACCAGTTTTGTGATGATTTCACGAACATAAATGTGGTATAATCCAGCTGTGAATCAGGTCAATTCAGAAAATGTTACAGTAAGACATTTTGAATGGACAATGTGCAAATTTATATTATGGAGTATCTAAAATAAACTTCAACATATACTTGTTAAAGAAAAGATTACTTACTGTCTCTTTATGTCTTTCAGGCAGTTATTACTTCTAGTAATTATTATTTAATATTTATATTGAAATGATGTCCAGAAGTCCCAATTCAAATCAGGTTAAAATCCACCATTCAAGTCACTACCTGAGCATTTAATAAGCAGAAGCGCTTACCCTGGAGGCCCTTCAATCTAGCTCTTGGAAAAGTGGAAGCACACGAACGTAACAAACAACAATAGTAACAATAGGGAAAAGCAGCAATTAAACCCTGTTACTCTGAAAAACTATGCGTACGTTGTTCAGACCATTGAACTCTCGCAAGGGACATAGAGGCGGCTGTTTCACCAACTGTTCTTTCAGTTTAGCTGCATGTTGTTGCAGTATTTACTAGTGTTCCTGTTCAAATATAAAAATAGAAATTTGAATGAGAGGAGTTTGGTCTTGGCGTCTACTGTGAAATCGTGCATAAAGAATTTAAACTTTCAGTGGGATCAGTTACGTAGTCTCACTTGAAAGACTCATTATGTAACTCTGTATTTTGTACTTTGTGCACTTAATCTGTAATTATTTAGTAACTGGGATAGCAACTCTGGGAATTAATGTTGCTGGGGACTCTGCTGAAGCTGTAATCTAAATACTGTCTTGATATTTATAGCACGTTTAAATCCCTGGGATAAATCCTGGTATTTTCTTAATTTGTATAGATAGTTGTATCTTGTCTATGTAAAGTGTCTTCAGCAGCTGTGGTCTAGCCAGCTATAGTTTTAGCAGACTTTGGCTAGGCTTTTATTTTTGATGGCTAAAACTGTAAATGAAATGTCTTACCTTGAAACTAACGTTATGATAGATTTACCATGGGAACAACAGTTGCTATAAATTACCCACACCCATCTATTACCCTGCTGCATTAATAAATGCATTGGGCAATTTGCAGTAAACATTGCCAAAGGACATTTTCAGATTAAAAAAGTTATGATAATTCACGCATAAAAGAGGTGCCTTGAAGAGTTCATGATGGAGGACATCAGTTACAGAGAGCCATTCATATTAACTATGATAAGGATACATTATTGGGTATTAGACAGGAATGATCAATTGTTTGCATGAGATAAAACAATAAGTAATTTTATTATAGGACCAGTGCAGTGCACTATAGTGAGAAATTTTAAATCTGTTGTCAGTGGGGGTGAAGTTCTCATACCTGGCCTTAGTCCAAAGCTGACTCATTTGAAGAAAATGGCTTATCTGAACAAGAAGAAATGGAAGTGATTTAATGTCTTGGGAAATACATATACGCATACAATTTTATTTTTTACAAACTCTGATGGTTGCATTTAATTTAGTTTAATTATTTCAATCTAGGCATAGATGTAATCCCCAAAGAGGACTGTATGTTCTGTACAGATGGAGAGAGGATTCATAGAAAAGTAAAGAAGCAATAAGTGAATATTATTACCCTAGTAGAAATGCATGCTTATTTTCTGTATCTGGATACAAATTGGGTACTCAAACATAAGATTCCCATAGACAGACAAGAAGTTTTCAATAAATAACAGTGTTGTTAAACATCGTGGACTTCTACGAATGTGATCAACTGTATGTTTTGTTGCTGAAGATTAAACCTTCTTCATCCAAAGCCCCGTAAGGAACTGGATGAAGCAACTAACGATCCTGAACAGGAAGTACCAACCGGAGTTACTTTCAAGGACTGGTGAGGGTTTAAAGGACTTTTCACATCTAGTTGTATGCTAAAATCAGGTCAATGCAGGTCAATACTGACCTGACATACCATTTTCCTTTGCTGTTCAACGGCTTATGTAAAATGGCATTTTTTAGCCTTTTGTCTATTTCTCAGTAAACAGATTATCGTACTAAAGCACTATCCCAGCTTAGTTGGTGGCAGTCCCGGTAGAGAAGCCAGGGATTAAATGGGCGTGGAAACAAAACTACCTCTGTCCTTAGACGTGGTCTCTGCAGCATGCAATTAGGGAGCATAAGGTGAGCAGCATGTACAAATCCACCCTGCTGTCAGCTTCGTGCGCTGTTTTGTGGCCGAGCAGAACCCCAGGCTCCAGGACTGTTAAAATGGCATATTGCGTACACAATAGGTTATCAAATACCCATTTCAGACAATCAAGGAAATTAAACAGAAAAACATTTCCACCCATGTACTGTTGCGGTCCAACACCACCAGCACTGGAGTCGCGTGACCTGCAGCAGAGCCACCGGCTGCCTTGCACGCGCATTTGTACGTGACTGTGTTACAGCCAGCAGCGTTTTCAGTGCCGTCAGATTGCACAGAGGGTCTTGAAAGACTCCAAGAGAAAACACAACAGTATTCCGGGGTGTATGTGGAATACCGTGACTACGTATGCGTGGCATTATTTTGATTGCTGTTGTTTGCACCGAAGTTCAGCGTAACCTTTCCGAGCGCCATGTTTGGGTGGAGGTCGTTAGTTTTTCCCCCAGGGGTGTCTGCTCCCCCCGCTCCAGGTAACCGCAAGCTTGGGCGCGGGGCGCGATGGGGCGGCAGCGGCTGGGACGGCCACGCGCCGAAGATGATGGACGCCTGATACGTGATCAATCGTTCCAGAGGTTTGGATATAACATGGGCAATTATTAAATTAGGAAGCTGAGCTGCTGACGCCCGAGGAAACTTTTTCATCACCCAGGACTGAATTTGCCTGGGCAACCGACGTGCCCCTGCAGCAGGCGAACTACGCCAAAACCGCGGGGATAAAACGGCGGCACCTGCACCCTACCGCAGGGGCCCCCCCGACAGGACCAGGACCAGGACCAGGACCAGGACCGGGACCGGGACCGGGACCGGGAGCAGGCCCCGGCCCCGCTGCAGGCCGCCGCCGGGGCAGAAGCAGGAGCGTATCTCCG